ATGCATAACAAAACTGATGATGACGCTACACCAACATCCTTACGAACTGCACAAATGACACGCATAGTACCCACGCCGCGCGAGTAAATCCAAAACGAGAAATACCAAGCAAATATCTTTTGAACGAACGGACGACGACCACAATGAAAAACATGAAGGTATTCATTAACTTTAATTAAGGTTAGTTTATTTTACTCGCCTTCACACGTGATACGTAATTTTGAATTATTGAAATATAGATGCATTTCGCCCTGTTAGGCACATTAAAATATTTAAATAAAAAATTCTGGAGGTTCCAATTCGCATATCCCAGAGCCTATACAATTCCGTAAAGTTATTTAAGTATCAGCCAACTTCTGTGGATATCCAGAATGGTTGATAGGAGAACGGTTGATAGATAACAAGGGACTTCGTGTATCTGAAGCAAGGTTCCACAGACATATTAAACAACAGCATGTAAGAGAACGATTAAACATATTTTTAGTTCAATGAAAGCAAAGGAGAGTGTCGAAAAGTTGAAGATGAAAGAATTACATATAGGCCAACGAGATGAATCCAAAAGGGAGATGGTAGAGCGAAGTTGTAATCGTAGTGTTGTTACTACTGTTGCTAGTAGTAGTAGTAGTAGTAGTAGTAGTAGTAGTAGTAGTAGCAGCAGCAGCAGCAGTGGTCGTCGTCGTCGTAGTAGTAGTAGTGGTGGTGGTGTTGGCAGTAGTAACAATACGTTTATAACTACTTAGTACTACAGTAGTAACAATACGATTACAAGTAGTAGCAGTAATGTTGCTGCCGGTGGTGGTATAGTAGTAATGATGGTGCGGCGGCGGTAGTTGTGTTATTGAGAGTATTTCAGTATTTATCCTAGATATTTTGGAATTGTAACTTTGGCCCTGCTTCGGTCAGTAACTGAACCAATGACGTCAAATTTTGCGCAAGTTTAATGTTAGATACCCAAGATTTTTAAGGTAAGACTACGCCATCCATAAGGTTAGCGAATAAGAGGGTTGCTGTGACGTGTTATACTTTATGTTTTCATTGTATATTTTTCGCAATTAGTCTGGGAATCTTTATCTCGTGGTCATCGTTTTGTTCCCGAGTTCCATTATGGATTCAATTCTCGGATCCTTCCCTTGTGTGTTCGGTACGCATTAGACATATATTTAACGTATATGGACATCTCCGGAGAACAAGAAAAATGTACGCAAGCAACAACTTTAGAGCAGAACCAAAACAATAAGTTGAATGTCGATTCGCGAAACAATTTATGAGCGGAGGAGCTTTACCAGGACAGATACTCCAGTGGCGCACTGGTTGGTAACGTTTGTGACCGGATTTCTTTGAAATAAAATACGTATATGCGAAATGTGATTTGAAGCTTCAGTAACTTAAGTACTAATTGTAGGCATGTAAAGACTACGATTAGATTAGACTGCAATGACAAAGAGCAACATCAAGAGGGGGATACTCGGTCTTTATGCAGACGGCCTTCATTGAAAGGTATATGTGTGTGTTACGAGAACGGCAGCTTTCAAATGTAACCAAAACGAGACATTGCAGTAAGGTAAGGTAAAGCTATCTCTGTAAAAGGTCGTGAAGGCCCATAGGGTTGTGAGACGTCAAGACTTCCACATATTCTAGACATTCGGCTCATAGATGGCGGCAAGGTTGTCTGCCTTACGCGCTTGCCGCCCTTTACCCTCCACGAAGATTCCTGGTACTCATTTCTATTAGAGGCTGAGTCGACCCAGGGCTATGATGCGGCTGAAAGGATTAGGTAAATTGAAAAATGCCACCTCGTCGATACTCGAACCCGCGACCTTCCGGTTTGTAACATAGTGCCTCAACCACCTACGCTTGCCCCGACAGTAATAGAGAGCGTAACTTACCTTTTTGATATCAGCCTTGGGGCTGCCTGTCTTCCGTAAGAGAATTAACTTATTTGCGGGTGGTCCAAGTAAGTGTAAAATTTAGTGCCGCGTCCATCTAGAAGTTTGTGTGTAAAAACATTGCTCAAAGCCTAACTTTAGAATTTGGTTCCCACAAGACGTCAGCATGGCCAGGCTTTGGAAGATCATGCTTTTGGTTTCGTTTTCAATTCCGGGTCTGATTTTCTTAAAAGTAAATTTCTAAAAACTTAAGGTTAGGCTTTAGGTTTTGTTTTCACATATAAATTAATGGGGTTGGCAGCACAATCCTCAGGGATAATATGACCCCTGGGTCACCCACAAATATGCAAGTGTAATATCGACTTTTCACTTTGGACCATTTATGATATGCTGATTGGTGTCACATCATTTTAAGTTCACATCAGTGATTTTTAAATGGAACAATAGTTTGTTCTACTTCATAGCTGAAAAAGCCTGTTCACATGTATGTGTGCTACCAGATACACTTACCAAAGTTTTTACTAACTGAAATAATCCAGAGGATCGCAGTACTGACAGAGAAGCATAATAGGCAAGTGAATCTTGCTGGTTGAAACTATTATGAAAAATTCAGTCATTCTGCATTTTAGTTAGTTCAAATTGCAACTTTTCTGAGGTTCACTGACTTCGTAGGATAATTGATTTGCAGAAATACGTACATTTATAGCGTGGTTACAGAAGTTGTTAAATCTCATTTTCATATTCTCAGTGGAAAAATCATTTTTGCAGCATGGACACTTACAATGAATGCTTACCCATCCATCCTTATTAAGCAGTTCACAGGAAGAAAGTTGGTAGGTAACAGTTTTCAAACTCTTTCTGAATGAGTTTCAGTTTAACTGCAAAAGCTTTGACAGCCCCAGACTGAAAAGAAACGAGTTCCTATTGACCTTGCAGTTAGGTATTTAAGTAATTTATGTGGTGACTAATATCACACTGCAGTGCCAAATCCAAGGCCACTTTGCATCATTGAGTTTAGCCACAACTTTGCCATGGTCATTCATGAACATTTGTATTTCTGCCCTCAGAGTTAAAGTCCATATCAACACCCTACAACACAGTCATCAGACCTCATGCATTAGGTGTCCCCATATTTAGCATCAGTTTATAATAAACAAGGCTGAAAATGCTGATGATGAAGTACAGGAAATTATATGAAGTTCATAACCAAAACCAAAACCTTCATAACATGTTCATACTTCTAAGTTAGTCCACAGTGTGACTATTGTTGGATGATACAGTAAAGTTCAATATAAAATACGGGATTTTTGTGTCAATTTCTCACTCATTTCTACCCATTCTTCCTGTTATCTCTCTGTTCATGTTTTGAGGTCTGTCCTCATATCTTGTAGCTCCATCCTGGCCAGTTCCTTCATGGTTTCACAAACACTCAAAAACAATTTACCCCCGTTTTTGTGCCATTCTAACTTGGGCACGTGGTAGCATAGTTGGTTGAGGCACTGTGCTACGAGCCAGAAGGTCATGGGTTCAACTCCCAATGAGGTCATTGGATTTTTTAAGTTGACCTATTCCTTCCAGCCACGCTATGGCCCTGGGCTAGACTTAGCCTCTAATAGAACTGAGTACCAGGAATGTTCCGGCGGGGGATAAAGGGCAGCTGGCACGTAAAGCTGGCAGCCTTACCGCCATCTGTGAGCTGATTGTCTAGAAGATGTGTAAGCCTTATCTGACAATCCTGTGGGCCTTCACAGCCTGTTACAGGGACAACTAAATTTTAAGGCTAGCTGGTTCTTTGACCACCTCAGAAAATTGTGTCATGCCTGGATTGACTATTAATAACTGAGAACTACCCCCTTGTGTCATTACTGCCATCCAGTGCCAAAGAGAAGCTTTCAAAATTGTTTTGGAGTAGATTAAATAAATCACTACTAATATCTTTAACTTGTGTCATTGTTGCATGAGACAAACTTAACAGTGCTAAAATCGCTGAGAATTACTGGGTTTTAATGTTTGACTTCTTTAGCCAGCAAGTGAACAACAAGATAACTTACCCCCCAGTGCAGAGGAACCATAATTAGATTTTGTTCTGAAGACATTCCTTTGTGAGTCAAGCCCCCCCCCCCAAGTTACCAATTTTTCTCCTCAGAACACTGACACACTTCTTTTGCTTTACTTCATGCTTTGAATTGTAGAGCTTAGTAATATTATATACTAAAAAAACGGTAGCAGTACTTTCACTACAAATTAAACAGAGCTTTCTATTCTTGAAAAATTACACATTCAGAGTTCATTTCCTAATCCTCATTTGTTTTTTTTTCCCTTGCATAAACAGTTGTTAACTAGTTATCACAACTGCCATTACCGCCACCGAATCGTATCATGTTCATCGCACTTTCCTGAATACATCTTTCAGTCCCCCAAATGAAGTAGGTCTTTGACATATATATTCTTCGGTACTTTGCACAACTGCTTATGCCACAAACATAATATTTTATTCAGTTCTCTAAGATGTTGGTCTGCCACTTCTTGGGGCTTCTAAAATGGTGCCATTTTCTTCGAATTTGCCCTACAGGTGGTAAATGAACTTATAAGTAGATGTGTTAGATTGAAATTCTTGTGACACGTCCCTAAACAGTGGCTCAACCTTCTTTGTGGGGAGTTTTTGGTGCAAAAATTCTCTATTATTTTGAAAGAGGCGACAGCCTCCAGATATAAGGATAGTTGTAAATACAGTGAGTGGGCAGTTAAAAGACATCTGACAGGGGGTGATCCTGCGGCCTGAAGGTTGGGAAAGGAACTGAGAGTCTCTTGCCATAAAAGTCTAGTGCATTATGAAATGTTATGCAGTGCCTCAAACTTAGCAGGTTCTTATGAACATTGGATTGAACCTTTAGGTTCTATAAGTGACAGAAATTCTTCAACTGTGTGTCTATCAGCTCTTCTGTGACTCTGATACATGGATCATTTTGTACACTGAACAGCTGAATCTGTGGCTTTGCATATCAATAGAACATGTACTAATGATTGATACTGTTTACTGCTCCTTAATACTGAAAAACAGAGATAAAGTTTATTTTCCAGGAGTCTCCAATGTAACATTTCTTCTTGTTTCAGGCAAAAGCTTTGGGTCGTGTTTTGTTTGATCAAGTTTGCAAGCAACTTCATCTGCTTGAAGCAGATTACTTTGGGCTGGAATACCAAGAACCCAATGGAACCAAAGTAAGAATTAAGACATTATGTTTCTTTTAATATAGTGTACTACTTTCAGTTGGTAGTATAAGACAGAGTGTCCTAAAAGCTCTTTTGCCCCTTGACTACAAATAATCAACACATCCCAGTCTTAGCTTTAGTAATATTATTATATATGATTATAAAGCCAGCAGTGCTGAAAATAACTACAAGAATATTTTGTGGTTCATCTTGTCAGCCATAACAACAAACATAAACCTTTTGTCTGGTGTTGATTTGAATATGATTGAATGCTTATTCAGAAAGATTAAACTAAAAATGTACACGTATATATATCATAAGCATGAAATATGTTGTGCTGGAATGTGTGGTTCATGCTGTAGTGAAAATTTAGAGTGGATTTGGAAGTTAATGGAGAAATTGTCAGAAACTGTCATCTTTGTAAGAATATCAACCAGTTACTTGTCAGGTTTTGTGCCAATTTCAAATATGTCTGAGATCTTGTATACTGTCAGTCTGGACATGTCTTAATGATTGCATGTCTTATTTATTTATCATTATTTATTAATGTTGTACTGTCTTGAATTTTTTACTTTTCTATATCCAGTGGTTGTACCAGTATGGATCAACAGAATAAATTAAAATTTAATAGTATATTTCAAAATGTGAAGAAGTCCATTCATAAATTGTCACTGTACTCCACACATAACAGTGTGGAGAATACAAAGAATTTGCATGTGCAGTCATAGCTGAGAATTATAACTCAGTTTTCCATTAGATACGTCTGTCAATGGAACCTCTGTGTATCCTTTGAGGAACCCATAAAGTTCCAAGAAACTGGTTACTGAAATTTAATTCTTATCATGGTGAATGTTACCCTGAAGATGGAGGCAGTGGGTTTCCCTGAAATGCTGGTACCTATCTACCAAATTTCATGGAATCACATCCCAAAAATTGTGATCTATGTGGTTGTTGCTGCCATAGATTTATACCTTTCTTTTTTAAATTAATTTTATGTATTACATTGTTCTCTAGTTCTCCTGGCAGCACCCCATCAGCGCCCTTTCCCTTTGTTTGTGAATATTTGATTATTTTCATGTTTGATTAAACATATTTGATTTGGTTTGGGAATTTCAAGTACCGAAGTGTAGCCACCCTGCTTCATGGTTGTAATTTTAAATCATTTTTGTGTGGGTGTAGTTTATTCTGAACTCAGTATCACAGAAAGTTTGTCATTATTGTGAATCTTGATTGAATTGATGTTTGTGGTGTGTGTTATCAAGTTTACATCTTATAAATGATCATGATCTTGCATTTTTTATGCAGGTTTAATTTATGTCTTCATATACTTTTAGTTTTCTTTTAAAATTACATGTCTGTCATACATATTGTAGGATTTTGTCTTAAGTTTGTACAGGGTGGATTTTTACCTTGGTGGCTGGTTCCACTCCTCTGCTCTTCACAGTGGCCAGTACGCCACTTGCTGCAAGGCATGTACGAATTTTGCCCATGAATCAGCATCCATGATGGCCGATAACATTTGAAATGAAAGGAAATTCTTATCTTTGTTCACAGTTCACAGGAGGTATTGAAAATGCTGTCCCTCTACACATATACGTTCCTCACACCAGCAGAAGAGTTTCTAATTTGCCCTTTGAAGCTGTTCTATAAGAATATTTGCAATTTCCCTATAATATTTTGAATTGTTTCATTTTGGTCCGTTACACTATCAATCACTAATTGTCAATAGATTTTCTGTCAAGTGCAACAATGTATATTTTGATCACTTAATTATCTCATCTGCCTTACATGTTTCGGTTCCAAGGAACCATCTTCAGAGGCACTTATAACAAACCATGAAAACACTGGCACAGCTCAACATTCACAATATGTAATTATTCGTGGAAACTATTACATATAACGGAGTGTAAAGCACAACACTTCCCAGTATCTTGAATGCAGGTATAGCACTTGCATCTAAAGGACCACCCTCAAAACCGAGTCGTCAACGTTAAAATTTAAAGTTAAAAAATTAAAAAACGTTCAAGTAAAATATTATTCAGGCTCCTTCTTGGTGAATCGTCCCAATGGGGGGAGGCGTCAGCACAGAGTTGTGTAGGCTTGNTGCAAGTGCTATACCTGCATTCAAGATACTGGGAAGTGTTGTGCTTTACACTCTGTTATATGTAATAGTTTCCACGAATAATTACATATTGTGAATGTTGAGCTGTGCCAGTGTTTTCATGGTTTGTTATAAGTGCCTCTGAATATGGTTCCTTGGAACCGAAACATGTAAGGCAGATGAGATAATTAAGTGATCAAAATATACATTGTTGCACTTGACGGAAAATCTATTGACAATTAGTTCCCTATAATATTTTCATTTAGTTCTTCTTCCATTAGGGTTTTTTTAATTCCTAGTGGGGTGGGATTAAGCCCCTTGTACTGCGGCCACTTCTGGCCTATTGTATCAGCCCCAGATGATAGGTGAGGGTGATTGTGGAGCAATTTGTGGAATGAACGTTGGCAGGGGAAACCAAAGTACCCAGAGAAAACCTGCCCCAGTGCCATTTTGTCCACCACAAATCCCACTTGACCAGACCCAGGATTGAACTCGGGCCGCCACGGTGGGAAGCCGGTGACTAACCACTTGAGCTATGGTGCAACCTCCCATTAGGGGTTACTGTTGTAAACTTTGTCCTACAAACAACCTCATAAGAAAAATCCAAAGGCTTAAGATTGGGTGAATGTGTTGGCCAGATACCACTGCTGATATAATTCTTTCCCTGAAGACATCAGACAAAGTCTGCATAGATATACATGCAGTGTGTGCAGTATCTGAGTCTTGTTGAATCCAGCCATAGAGTCTTTCTTCTTCCATTAACTCAGGAAAGAAGTGCCTGAGAGTGACCTGTACATATCTTTCACAGTTCATTGTTTCATTAAAACAAAACAGGTCTAACAGTCTGTCTTGCACTTACAGCCCACCAGACACCAACTCTCACTGGATGGAGTGGGACTGCGTGGGTTAGATATGGATTCACTGAAATCCAGTAGTGTTTATTTTGCATGTTTATATATCCCTGCAAGTGAAACCACACTTCATCGGAAAAGAATATCAATTACGGATTGGTCTTACCTTCAGTGACATAGACTGTAGCAACCAACTGCAAAAATGAAGCCCAATAGCTGGATTGTGCAGCTTCAAAGCATTGATTACTGTTTTTTATGGGGTGTAAGCTTCAGCAGTTGTTTTGCTGTTCTTGCTCTAGACTTTGACGCTCCAATCTCTTGAGCTAGATGTTTCATTGATTTTCTAGGTGTATATTCAAGCCTGGCCCCTGTGTCATCTAACTTGTCCTCGGTAAGCACTTGATGCTTATTTTTTGTTTACTTTTTATTATGAGTCCTGTTGTTCTAAGTTTATTAACCAAATTGTGAATTGTTTGTTTGCTAAGAACTCTTTATTGTGAAATTTGCGTCAAAATTTTTGCCAGCAGTTTTTAGCAAATCTGTATTTCACATAGGTGTCATACAGAAATACACATTGCTCTAAAGTATATTGCACAGTGACATACCACAGTGCTCACTAACTGTAACTGAGAAAAAATGGCTAATGGAGCTGATAACTGCTGCCTGCTGCTGACAAATCATAAACTCCCACGCATGAACCGCACTGCTTGCTGTGAAACATAATGCCTGCAAGTGGTCCACAAGTTAATTCCCTTTATTCCAAACATTATCGGCCATTAGTAGGCATGCTGATTCATCTGCAGAATTTGTATGCTCCTCGCAGCAAGCGGCACACCAGTCGCCATGAAGTGGAGAGCCATGAACTGGTCAATAATGTTAAAAAAAACTAAACTCTCTATATTTATAAGGATAATATGGTTTTATATTATCATTTCTTGTTAAGTAGGTGTTTTTGACCTTAACTAAAACTGTTGATCCAGCTGAATCGTTTTCTTATCCAGATCTGACGCCTCCTTCATAATGAATGTTACTTTACAGTTAGTATTATAATGTAAGAAAATTAGCATTTCAGTCTTTTCCAGATTCATCCTACAGTAGTATAATAATGCAGTACAGAAAGGTACAGTGAAGCCGGTTCAGTTGCCTGTTGGATACATATGAACAAAAGTTAATTCTTCAAATTCAGTTGGTTGAAAATTGTTCACAAGTGATTTATAAGTTTGTTCATATGTAGATGGTATTGTTTATATTGCAAGGTTTGGGCATTTTTATGAGATCCATGGATCCCCATGCCCTCAGCAGCATTGCTTTGCTTGGACAGCACTAGGCCATGAGAAAGTGAATAAAAGCCATGTATACAGCCAAGCTGGCCAATATACAGTGTTAAACAGTTTAATGCTTCCTTTCTGAGGATTTGTAAGTTATGATATCCACTTACAATTCATCAGCAGTTGCTCCCACACATATGTTCATGAGCATCTCTATAGAGAAATCAGTAACTTGTGTTGAGTGCCAAGACTGTAGCAGTAATAGTGTTATTAATAACAAAAAGTTGTGTACTGAGATGTGCTGTCTGTTATTGTATAGTTGATTTAATGTCTATCAGAGGAATAAGTAAGACTTTGAGCAGTTGATGCGTGTAGAAACATGGATTGGATTTACCAAGACTGGATGAAGATCATGATCAGACTGATCCTAATAACGAATCAGATGGCTGGTATGGTACCAGAGCATAACAAAAATGAAATAGCCTGATTGAATAATAATATGGCAAAAATATTTGTCTTGATATTATTTCTATTAGCAGGTACAATATTTCTCATTCAATTTAGTTATATATAAATGTAAAGTTGTCTCTGTGCTAATTAAGCACCACACTACAAAGATATATGGAGGAGTGGAGGTATAGCATTTTTAACTTTTGTACAATGGAGGTGAATGGCCAGCTTCACACCTTTGCTGCTATACCCCTGGAGAAAGAGCTCCTTGTACCCATTGGATAGGAGGCTGGGTGAACCCCAGAGACAGTCTGTTTGCTATGAAGCTTTGTGCCTTTGCCAGGAAGTGAATTCCATTTCCTCAGTCATCCAGCCCATAGCCTAGTCCCTGTTCTGGCTTCCTGTTTACTTTCGTGTTCGATTCATATTTAAAAACAATGCTGTGTTACTGCTTCTGGATGTAACATATATTGAGATGCCAGTTCAATGTGTAGGAGTATTGAACTAATTAATTTCCTCTTTTATTTTGTTAGTACTGGTTGGACCTGGAGAAGCCATTATCCAGGCAAATTGGGCTCTCACTGGTAGACACGCTTTTAAGGTTCTGTGTCAAGTTCTACACACCAGACCCAGCACAGTTGGAAGAAGAATTCACAAGATATCTGTTCTGCCTCCAGATCAAGCGTGACTTAGCCCAGGGTTTACTGCAGTGTAATGACAACACAGCTGCCCTCATGGCTTCCTATATAGTACAAGGTGAGGTTTGAGTTGTGGAACACTCATTTTAAGATTTTTTTTTTGTGTGGTTTCCAGCAGTTCTAGTACGTAATTTCTTTCATTGTAATGCCCTAGCGGCGCAGGGGGGGATGGAGTTATCCCACCCGCTGCCGCCACTGTAATACCGTGGTGCCGGGGGGCGTGGAGTCAGCCCGCCTCTGTCACCACTGTAACTCCGCATGTAGGGGGGCGTGGAGTTATCCCTCCTCGCCTCCACTGGTTATGTCGTAAACTGGTACTACTGGTAACGTCGTGCCGTCGGGGGTGTGCAGGTACCCCTCCTTGCCACCTCCGCTTATGCTGTAAGGAGTTAACGCAATCATCCTAGCTTACCCTTAGCTAGGATTCTCCTATTTCGGGGTTTCTTTCTCGTCATACAAGCTGCCACCATCTATTTTCTGTTCTTTCAATTGTGGGGACTACTCCCTGGCATATATTCATAGCTCCTTGACCACTCCTCCCTTAGTTTACAGGTAGCGTCTAAATACTTTATTAATACACTTTATCATTCTATCTTAAAAAGGGCGTTGCTGTCGAGGCTATCATACTCTGCCTGTGTGGCAGGAGCCTATCCCTGTCTACTCTTATCTTCGTCTTCGGCTGCCATTGCTCCTGTGTCAGTTCGGCCCTTGCTCGGTCAGGATTGCTCGGGATCGGATGTGGGAGGTGGATTATAAATATGAATTACACTCCCGGTACATCCTATCCTATCTATTCTAGCTGTCTATTTACATGTTTATATATACATGATTTACATTATTTACATTGTTAACAAGACCGACTCTCAGTCGGGTCTACATACTGAATGGGCTAGCCTCTGCGCTAGAACCTCCCCTTTGGGGATGGAGGCCTCGAGCCTCTCTCTCTCTCTCTCTCTCTTTAACGCATCTTATGAGGACAGACAAGCCCTCCTCGTGTAACATACATCTCTTAGTTGTACATTTCTTACTCTCGACACATACAATTCTACTATCTTTCACAAAGTTCCCTCGAAACGTGATCTACCCGGAAATATCTATATTAAATTCCCACATACTATAGTTACCATTACCCCCTAGGTGTAACCTTGACACCGTCATATAAGTACACTATCTATACATCTTAACCTACTCTATCCTTGGTTATACATATTCACTGATTGCCTGACTACTACCCTAGGCTTTTACATGTTCCTGGTATCGTACCCTATGGGCTCACTGGGTACACTGGAAATTGCACATTCAATAGCTCAACAACACAGTTATCACCAATACTATGAAACAACGTTATTATCACTCGGCATGGCTAATATGCGTAAACAAACCCACCTGTAGTACAAGATGCCGGCTGACGTCCAGCGCTCGTCAGACCCATGTTGAAGAGCGCCTTCGGCTAACAACTGAATATTCTGTGATAGAACGTGATACCAAGTCCCCCGAAATTCCCTAATTTAAGGGTTTATTTCCGCTGATTCAGCCTTGACAAAAGAGGGTGGGAGACTCCCCCCTCAGTGTCCTCAATCCTCCTAATAACCTCCTCATTGGCTCTCATGGGTGGTTGTGGGCGGACCCCCTTGCGTCTCCTTGCTGTGTAAGCAGTCTATCACGATTACCCTAGTGCCTGAGTGAGGCAAGTGTCTTGCTTTATGAATACACAGAGACTTGCTGAGTCTTCACATTCTTAACCTACTTGCCAGTCCCGGTGTTTACAATTTACGGCAATAACTGCGAAACTCTTTTCGCAAGTCTCTGGCTTTGGGTAATACCATACCCTCTCTAATCTCAAATTTGGGGCATCACATTCATTATACCTTGAATTAAGCCCTAAGTTCCTGTTCATTCTTTTCCAATCGACATACATTGTCAACATGTTTCATCTACAAGGGCTGTTCAGAAAGTAATCTCCATTTATTTTAAGCAACCAATGTAAGGGGGGGGGGGCTCGCGCATGTGAGGTAGCGTCACATGACTCATTGCATTGTAACATAACTGGTTACCTAGTGTTTGTTCTTGTCTCCACAGAGTGAGTTTTGATGTGTCCTACAGTTGATAATCGTGCCAGCTACAGAATTCATGGTAATCCTCATTCGTCATGCTAAAAACATGAGTGCAGAAATCCATCATGAATTGTGCACAGCAGTTTATGGCCAGAATGTATGTAATGAGTGAAGGATGCTGTGGGACAGTGGTGTAGAATGTTCAAAGATGGGTGGGCGAGCAAATGTTCACAATGAAGAGTGAAGCAATTGGCAGGCCATCTGTAGTGAGTGATGATCTTGTTCAACGTATTGACCAAAAAATTGGTAAAAGGTGGTGTTTCACAATTTCAGAACTTTCTCGTTAAGTTCCAAAATTTTCACGCACTGTTCTGTATGAGATTATCACAGTTAGGCTAGGCTGTCATCATGAGGTTTGCATGAGATTGGTTCCAAAAATGTTCACAGAACACAGAGAATGGCTTCAACTTTGAAATTTTAGAGTGATACCATAGAGATGGCAATGAATTTCTCAATCACAGCATACATGTAATAGACGAAACCTGGGTTCCATTTGTGAAAGTTGAAACCAAAGAACAGTCAAAGCAGTGGATGCACACACATCCACCAAACAAGCCAAGAAAGTTTAAACAAACGTTGTCTGCCTGCCAGAAAACTGATGGCAACTGTTTTCTGAGACAGGAAATGTGTACTGATGGTGGAATTCATGCAAAATGCGACTACAGTAATGTCAGAAGTATATTATGAAACACTAAAATAACTGCATAGGACCATTCAGAACATAAGGCGTGGAATGCTGACATATGGTGCACTCATAGTCCCCCTCCATGACAATGCATGTCTGCATACAGCTCCTTGCACTGGGGCACTGCTGGAGCATTTAAACTGGGAGTTGTTTGACCACCATCCTTACAGCCCTGATCTCGCTCCGAGTGACTACCACTGGTTTACATACCTGGAGAACTGGTTGGGACTAGAGTGCTTCAACAATAATGAGTTGAGGGAAGGTGCTAAAACATTGTTGAATTCACAGGTGGCACTCTTCTTTGACACAGGCATGCAAAAACTTATTCCCTAATTTAAGTGTCTCAATCCGGCAGTAACTGCATTGAGAAGTAGCATAAGTATGGTCATATTTTTTGTATATAATAATTTTTTCTCATTGCTTATTTTTAGAACATCATCAGAGATTACTTTCCGAATAGCCCTTGTAATTTAATACTAAAAGTATTTGCAGTTGATATAGCATCACTAAATTGTGTGTGTGTTAGTGTGGGGGTTTGGTTTCCTGTAGTCCTTGTAGGTCATATCTTTTCTTGTACCTTGAATTAGGCTGTAAGTTCCTCTCCAGTGTTTCCCGATTCATGTGCACGATTAACATTTCATCTAACCTAATACTGTCATGAATTAGGGCTAACTACGTATGGATTGGTGAATGGCTTTATTGACCACTTATACACACCACTTGGAACTGCAAGGATTTACGGTGCTTTTGCTAATCTCCGCACTTTACAAATCACCGCAGCACGCACTGAATATTTTTCCAGCCTGCTGTATCTTCATCAGCCATTCCCTGGCAACAGGTGATAACAGTGGAGATTCTTCAGTATCACGTGCTAAGGTCTGTCTTCATAGCATCCTGTGCAGAACTCAACTGACTGATAATTAATTCCCAGGCTGACAGCCATTCCACACCAACCTCCTAGTCAGCTCTTCAAAGGCTGACTTTCAACTGACTACTGATTCTGTCAACTGACCATTAACTCAGTTCCCTTAATTTTCTTGACAATAACTCCTCAGTGTGTACCACATAGGGCACAGTCCCATTTTCATTATTGTAGCTGCCTGCAATGAGTTGCATAACACTGTTTCCAGCAGTAAGTATTGTAGAGATATGCTTACCGTGCTGTTGCATAGCAGCGGCTGTTGTCTCATTGTTTGCTTGAGGTCTTTGCCTAGCAAGAGATCTATATGCCACAGTACTAACAATACCTGCAGTTAATATAGCACTATTAAATGGTGTGTAAGTCAATCAGAAAATCTGCTTTTCCTAAGGACAATAGCAGTTAATCTCATACACTGAAATTTCTGCTATTGTACTGCAGACTTTGTATAAATAGCTGACTATGTCATCTTGCGTTTTGGCAACATTCTTGTAAGCTACTCTTTAGAGGTCTGCATCTTCTATAAGTAAAGAAATAGCAAAATGTAAGAACTGCTACCACAACTGCCACCACCAAATGTAGCAGTTCTCAAAGCCTATTGGAAGACACTTGACATGAAATTGGCCGTACAGTGTTGCACAGATTCACAGTCCCATTCTTGCATCTCCAGTTCTGTATTCTACACAGCCAAGTTATGGCTTTGGAGTTCCTGGAAACAGATAATTGGCTCTTTAATTGATTGAAGGTGGAAGCAGACAAATATCTAAAATTCCACCAAACCAGCCCACATGCAAATTCTGTCCTTGCTTAGAGGTAAGATTACAGATCACAACAAAATAACAGTGAAATTCTAGAGATTGTGATTATCATTTCCTCTGGCAGACTTTACCCTCCTTCCTTGAAAATTATAATTTTTTTTTTTTTTGAGATTAAAGAAACCCATGAAAATTGCAGTAAGAACAGCTGACCTGTGGAACAAGAATTAAATAATGAACTCCCAGAATAAGAAGCAGACATTCTGTGCACTCATCTTTAATGTTTGGTTACTGTTATGTCCATCTTAATATGTGTATTTTACAGCGTTCACTTATCTTCACTCTGATGCTAAACAGTCCAATGTTTCAGAAACCTCCACCAGCTTTTGTAGCAGTTACTGTAACATGGAAAATCCAGACTGCTGACTGCAGTTGAATAAAGGATTAAGAGAGATGGTTTGTGATAAATTGTCTCCACTTTGGTATTTTTGTGCTCTTCGGTGACTTTTTTTTTTTTTCATTTTGCTTATAATTTCTTGATTTATATAAGATGAATTTGATTTGTGCAGCTGAATGTGGAGATTATGTTGTGGAGGATTATCCTGACCACACATACCTGTCGACATACAAATTTGTACCAAATCAGGACCATGAGTTGGAGCGAAGGATCATGGAGAATCACAAAAAACATGCGTAAGTAACATATCTTCTTTTCTATGTTCTGTTCATGAATATGTTTTGCTGTATGTTCTTTAAACATATTATGCTGCCCACATTCATATAACACTCCTGTTAGTACTATAGTCTCAGCTACTAACAGCATTATTATATAAACAATTAAAACAGTAACTTATAGTATTGTTTTCTGTCTGTAATGCAACAGTATTAATTTAACAAAACTAATTCACAATTAATTCACTAAATGTTCATTAAATGTTTAAAATATCATTAAAATTATTAAAATATATTATCATTCAGTGTTATGCAACATGTTTCAGCCGCATAGGGCCATCTTCAGGCAGTACATTGGTCAAATAGTATTCATTAAGGCATCATTGTTATTATTCTTTCTTTTTAATTCTGATGTTGTAGGATAATTTTATATGACGATTTTTTCCTATCCTATATATTACAGCTGTTTTCATGTCCCATTGTGTGTGCTGCTCTCTTAGTTGTGTGTATCTAGTGGTTCTTTGTGTTCCTTGTACAAGGAATAGTATTCATTAAGGCACATCGTTATTATTATTTTCTTTTTAATTCTGATGTTGTAGTATGGTTTCATAGGATATTTTTCTGCCTATCTTATATATTGCGGCTGTTTCCATGTCCCACTAGGTGTGCCACTCTGTTAGCTGTGTGTTCCTTTAAAAGGAACATTGTTCGTAACTGTATGTGAGGAATTCAGTAGATAGGATTTAGATCTTTGTCTGTTGGAGTAATAACTTATCTCAATATTGCATGTGGGCCTTCGCATACAACAGCATAGGTCAGGAATCAGTGAAGCTGAGAATGGTGTAAATTAAAATTAATCACCAACTGTTCAGTGCTCAAAATCTTCTTAATCTGTTTATATATAGTTGGTTTATTCTTTTCTCATAAAACACTGTGGCAGTGCTTGCTACCAGTCAGTCCAAAACCTTTTGTCTTCTCGGCTGCTGTCTAAAAATGTAAAGAATAGAATATAAAAAACTAATTTTGCATGTTGTTCTGTATGGATGTGAAACTTGGTCTCTGTCAATAAGGAAGTAATAGAATATTTGGACTAAAGAGAGATAAAGTGACAGGAGGTTAGAGAAAATTGCATAATGAGGAGCTTTGTAACTTGCACCTTGTTATTTTCATCACACTTACTGCCATACATGTGACAGTATTATGGATCATAGATCACATGGAGATATATGTAGAGTTTAAAACACGAACAGAATTTAGAATTCAGAATCACTTTCCGAGAGTATTGTCATGCATATGAGTGGTTGTAGATGGTTTTTGGATTGGTAATTGAATTTTTTTAACTCTTGCAGATTCGTAACTACAAGTATCTATAGCACTATCACTAATTCACATATTCTGCAGTTTCCTACAGCACATACAAAGTCTTCTTAGTCTGCTGTAGCTTCACTGGTTGAGGCCTGGTAATGGCTTCCAGCACCGTAGCTTTCTCAGCTTCTGTGTTCATGTCCTTATTGGCCAGTGACTGTCTCACAACTAAGTCCTACTCTTCTAACTGCTGTCCCAAGACACTCTCGTAATCACAGCTGCTCTTTGTTATGTAGCCTTAGCACATACTGCACAGAAAACACCACTCCCAACAGTTCTTTTGTTGCATCATGTAGCTATCGCACAGACTACATAGAGAACACCATTTCCCAGTTATTCAGTTGATGCATGTTACGAATCTGTTGCGGCCATTACCTAGCAATGGTTGTTTATAGAGCCATTACCTAGCATTGGCTGTTGTGTCGCCACTTATTTCGTGGTTGTTCCCTAGCAGGGAGTCTGCATGCCACGGTTTGATGTGTACACAACATGTATGCAGTGAATGAGGCAGCTATTTGGCAATTAAATTATTTAGAACCTACATTAAAGTTTTTGCATCTGTGCCACCAGTAACACGGGGTAAAGTGACCCCAGTAGGTGCTGCCAGCCAAAGTTTGCTTCAAAATCAGATGTCCCAGTTAGTTATTTGCCACAATACCTGCTGCTTCTGGCAAGGGACTTGCCAAACTGAAGGGATGGGTAAATGGGACTTAGATCATACATAGTGAAATTTTGAGCTGGAAACTCTGTAGAGAAAAAAAAATAACCTTAGAGTCATAAGCATGGTGTGAAGATGATACTAAAATAGAGCTTATAAAAATGGCATGTTGAGGGCATTAACTGGATTCAACCCCCTCAAGATAGAATCCATTGGCAGGCTCTATTGATCATGATGATGAACCCATGGTTCCCATAAATGTTGTGACCAAGTGAACTATCAGCCTTGCACAGTGATGTTAGTTATTTCATAGTGGTTGTTTCATTGATTGGTAGGTTCTCTCAGAAGCTACAGATATGCAGTGGAATTTGTTATAGCAACATGTTAGATAACTTCAGTTAGTAAGAAAGACATATTGATTATTAAAAAGTAAAGTTGTCCCTGTGCTTAACTAATGAAGCACTATACCATGAAGACCTATGGGGAAGTGGTTGTGTAGATCCATGTATTCTTGACTTCAGCATTAGTTTGAGGAGAGTGGTCAGTTTCATGCCCTGGTCACTTTACCCTCTGGGGAAGAGCCCCCAATACCCATTGGATAGGAGGCTGGGTGGGCCCCATATATGGTCTGGACAGTGTGGAGAGGAGAAAAATCTTGGGGACTTCACCTCTAATCCCATTGGCCATCCATCCCATAGCCATGTACTATACCAGCCAAACTATCCTGACTCCTGATATTGATTAGTAGGTTCTGAATTACATGTTGTGATTTTTTCACAACTGTAAAATTGTTAGTGAAAGTAAATGCTTCTAGATGTGTTGGTTTTAATTGTGTCTTTGCTGTGTTTAGAAGCGTAAGTGTCCTGAAAGTAATTGTAGTGTAACAGTTTAATGCAAGAATAGAGTACTGAAGTACATATTAGATAGCATGACAGCACTGTTTGTCTTATGTTTCATAAGATATGGAAATAACTTGCAGGGGTCAGTCACCAGCAGAAGCTGACTTGAATCTTCTGGAAACATCCCGTCGTTGTGAGCTGTATGGTATGAAGATGCACCCAGCCAAGGTAAAGTTCATATAGTATAGAGCTGTAATATTTCATACCTTTTTGTATCTTTATTTGAGCATATCATTTCTTCGTAACTTGTAGCTTCAAATCGAATACACAGAACTGGAAAGCTAACATACAAAACAAAATTTCAAAAACTGACTGATGACTGTGCTTCCTGTAGTTTAAGTAAGCAGTGTATAACTTTATTTTCTAGGATCATGAGGGTGTACCACTGAATCTGGCTGTGGCACATATGGGCATTGTTGTCTTCCAGAACTTCACCAAGATTAATACTTTTTCTTGGGCCAAGATTCGCAAAATCAGCTTTAAAAGAAAACGCTTTCTTGTGAAACTTCATCCAGAAGGCTATGTAAGTAAGGGTGAATATGGGCATCTATCATTATTTCTTTAATGTCTGATATGTTTAGTGTTTTGTAGTGTGTCTTGTTGTCTGTTTCCTGGTCACCTGACTTTTGTTTTCCTTATGTGGACTATAGCTGTCAGAGAGCCTGTAGCCAAGACAATGTATGGTGATTTGTCAGAAGTGTTTTTAAAGTAATCAGTATTATTACATAAAATATCATTATGTTCAGAGGACCCTGCTGCTGGACCCTGTCCTTTGTGCATGAATTCAATTCATACTCTTGTGCTCTGTTTCATTAACATCCATCTCGGTATTATACTCCCATCTGTAACTATGTCTCCAGGTGGTTCTCTCCCGTCAGATTCTCTGTCCAGATGTCTGTATGTGTGTTATTAGATACACTGATTGGTTGTTGGGTGTGTTTGTAGTTGAATTGCTTGTTCTTGGTCTTTGTGACAAAAAATATTGGAGACTTCACTGTATTCATCTTCATTTTATATTGGAAAGAAAATATAAACAACTTCTTAATACTCAGCTACTCTTGCTAATTGTAGCTAAAGAGAAGCTGAAACCTGTAGAATTTTTTGATTATCAATGGAAAATTCAGTAAGGTCCTCATGATTCATGATTCATCAGTAATCTGTCAGACGACAGGTCCACAATCTCTTCCAAAACAGTTCCTCCACTTAATGCGATCTTCTGTTTTTGGAAAGAGACTATCCAGGAAAAGTGATAATGTGGTAGTTTTTCCATTTGCTTTCCACATCGCAGTACAGCAGCCGTTCAAACCACTCTGGTCACGCCTGTTGCTATACGAACTTGAACCATCTCGAGCATCATTTGTTCTGTGCTTCAAGTCGCTGCTGATGACGCTGCTTCCGGCATCAGTTTTTGGTTTTTGGTGTCTCTCTTCGTCTGATGCCCAACCTTTGACCTGTCCAGCAAGGGAGGCCCTGCCAGTAGCTACGCTGCCGCTGGTATAGCTCTCAGGGTCCTTAGCATACTATAGGTCCTATAGGATTTTTTCCCCCTGTTGTCACATTTGTAATTACATATTTCAGTGACAGCTTTGTACATGGTCCCTCATGATCCAGCAGTCTACATTCTTTTACATCATTTTGTCAATGAGGACAGTATAAAAATCATGAGGACTTTATGCGCACAGAATCACATTTGAGGCCATTTATTATTGTGACATATATTCCCCCTCCATGAAACTCTGGGACCTTTGGTTGTACATTATTGTAGCTTCAAATTTGGGCATTATGATTGCCTTCTTAGTGGGTTTTTGTAAACTGCATGAATTTTCATGATAAACTAGGAATGAAGATATCTTGTTGTGTGTCTTTATGTTCGGATCTAATCCCAGGGCAGTTATTATTCACAAACATCATATATGGCTGTATGTATTTATTATGGGGAATCCTCATAAAGTAACTGAGCTGAAATCATAATAACTGAAGGTTTCTCAGTATGCACAGAAGTATCAGTTTAACTTGAAATCATCTGTTCAAACATAAAATTCCATAGGTGGTGTCCTTGCGCGCGCACGCACGCACACACACACACACACACACACACACGCGCGCGCGCTAAAAGTTGTGAAAGAATCTGTCTTCCCCAACTAATGAGGTAACATTCATAAGAAGTGGAGTAAACATGCTCCACAACCTACTAAATGGACACTGGAGAATTCTTGCACTGCTTAATGCTCTCTTCATTTCAGCAAAGATTTAATACCAGCATTTGGGCTGGAACTGTAAATGACTGCCTAATCGGACCTTACCTGGTAACAAATTGTCTCACTGGAATCCGGTATGCTGAGTTTCATGAAAGAACACCTCTCTTTTGTATTGGAGGTTGTACCTGTTATTCTTGATGAGGGCATGTGGTTTCAGCAAGATGATGCTTCACCCCATTTCTCACGATAATTACAGAATCAGTTAAACAACCATTTTGTGGATGCTTGCACAGATTGACTGTGAGGGTCCAGTTATTTGGCCTCCACATTATACTGAACTGAACCCTCTTCTTTTTCTTATGGTATTGCATCAAAGGAAATTTTTATGCTATAGAAGTATCAATTGCATCCTGGTAACAGTGACAGATATTGAGGGCCACCAAGGCAACTTATTAATTACAGAGACAGCACTCAGTTTCATCTTGAAGGGGACATATGAGTTGGATGAGGTACCCTTGAGCAATTCTTGTGAAAAAAAGATGAATAACCCTGTGGAAGTGTTTGCTACATGATCACACATTTATGTTAAACATATTGTAAAATTAAAATTGAAAAGAGGTGTATTTCATTTTTGTAAAAGTAACAAAATGTCACAACTTTACAAGAGTGATGAATCAGACAAGAGTACTTTCACTTTTTCCCTTCAAAATTACTTCTCCGACACCCCCTAAAGTTTGGCGTAGGAGTTTGAATCACAATATATATATCTGTGTGTGTGTGCGTGCGTGCACACGCACATGCATCTAAATACAATAAAAATTGTGATATCTGGCACTTCCAAGACCAAAGGGTTGCTAGATATTATAGTTTTCCAGATATTAGGATGTTATTCCTAATATATATCTTGTGCCTAGCAACCTCATGGGCAGACCTAAACATTTAATTTATTGTGTGATATCCTGCCCTGTTTTTTCTGCCACACTCATTGTTCCCTTTTCATCACTACTTACATCACATGGTGTATATATTGTGGCAAGTAGACTCCTTGCTAGGCAATGACCATGTGCTATACAACAGCCATTAGTAGTAATGGCTTTGCAAGCAAGGATGTTTCCATGGCAACAGTGGGATACAACAATAACGGGAACCCCAACACACAAACAGCAATGACATAGCAACAGAGGAACTGTGTTTTCTTTGTGGTCCGTGTAGAGATATAATGATTAGGACATGTCTAGAGTGAGTCGGTCGAGAGTTGCTGTAGATGAGGTGGATAGTTCAGGATCCCAGAGGAAGGGAAACGTTCGCTGTTGGAAGCCACTACCAAGCAACAGATAGTGCAGACATGACTGTGGACACTAGTATGTGTGTTGTAATAGTGAACTGTGAAGTGTAGTCATGCCCTGTGTCAAAGAGTCCAATAAATCAAGTCATTAATCCAAAACCCATCTAGAGTCACCCAAAAGTGTGACAGTATAATCTAAGAAAACCAACAGAACAGAACTTTATGTATGGAATCATAATAGTTTTCAGTTGTTGTGAAGTTGAATGTATAATAGCTCTTTAGTATAGAAGTTTGTGTTAGAATTAAAGAGTTGTACAGTTGTATGTATTATTTCTTATCTGAACTTCACCTGAGAGAATCAGGCCATATGTATGCAGTTTTATCTGCAGACTTCAATGGTACAGAGAAGTTGTAAATACCTACAAACAGCAGCTGAGCTGGGTTAAAAGTTCATCGTATGAAACTGAAAAATACATGTAAGCTTAGAAAATAAGATAACCCTGCAACTTGAATAATCACATGTCTAACCTGTTCTAAATCCACGTGTGTGTGCATAGAGACTGAGTGTTACAAATTAAAATTAAAATCTCAGGAAGAAGTTTGAATGTATCTGGAATGATGTGGCATCTGTATATATACACAAAGTTATCTCCATAGATCAGGATCATGATGGTACCAAAACTACTGGAAAACTTTGTGTGCATGGCAGTCTGATATGTATTTATTTCAGAAGACTGTATGGGTAGTCCGTTACAATATGTTGTGTATAATGTAAGTATGTATCTCATATAGGAGTTTGGGGTGTGTTACAGAGTTCTTCTTCTTAAGTGTAACAAAATTCTCAAGGTGTATGTGATTTTACTGAAAATGTTGAAAGAGAGATTCACCTTGTTTTTTCAATCTAATATTTTTGTTTTTCTATTGTTTTTCATGTGTGTCTGTCTCAACTTGGGTGTCACAGTCAGAGGTAAACAAATATTACACAAACACACATACATAACTCACTCAGTTTCCTCAGCTTTTAATGATGAGCCTGGTTTCTGTTTGTATTAAAATATTAACTAACTCTTAATTCCTCTGCAGCCTGTTACAAATAATTATTATTAACAAATTAATACCTTTTTATATTTTGCTGGCTTCAGATTTGTTTATTCATCTGTAGTTGTATTATTTTGCACATGGTATGTGTGTTGAAGATAAGTCTGTAGGAATGTGCTGGAAAATAAGATATTACAGTTACAATAGCTACATTGCTTGCCTTTATCTTCTGTCTCCTTTATCAGTCGTTTCATGATGCGGATAGGCAAGGGACACATAAGACTCTTTCATAAATCATCTAGTAGTTTACTTACCCTTTGGGAACAGGAAAACTCCTTGTTACTTAAATGTGAAAAGAAAATATTTTGCATTTCACCACGATCTTCATATTAATTTTTTTTAACTAGTGAATAATGCTGCAGGTTTAGAAGATTGAAGGTTTGACAGTTTGAGGAGGGGACTTCTAGTCAAAGAAGTTTTTGATAGGAGGGTGTCCTTCACTCCTGTGCAGCCTATGCTCATTAGATCCCTGGAAGTTTTGCAGCGTCCACCTAACATACAGCACTTTGATAAGAATTTGATAGCTGGTTAGAATAGAACTCTGGCTACTGTGAAACTGTGTGAGGGAATCTGGAGCTCCACTTTCTTTTAATTTTGTAGGAGTATAGAAGAATGATTATATTTTTAATATCCTTTTTATTATTATTTTAATTTTAAACAATTTATATTGATATCAGTCTTGTATCAGAACACTTAGTTAAAGCTAAGGAACAAGAATGTATTGTTGTAAAAGAATATTTGCTAAGGAAAGTAGCATTACTATCAGAACTTTCAGAATTCAGTACATCTATCATAGGAGTCTTGAAATTGTGTGTTACATAAGATGTAACTAGGAAAAGAAGTACCCTGTTAGATGATGACGGTAAAAACAGACTCACTTGAATGTCAGAAGTTTGGCATTGTCCTCATGAATTAAAATATAATGTGGAAGAACAAAAATATTTCCATGTCTATTACACTGTTGTTTTTAATTTATAATTGCAGTTTTAATTATGGTCCAACAAACTATTATAATCCTTGCATGTTAAAGGGTATCGTTATGTTATGTATTGTGTATCGCAAAGTTAATTTTAAGGCCTCCTTGGAGGAAAGGACTAGCTGTCACATTGCACAGAGAACATTTATTTATGAATGAATAATTGTAATTGACTTACCTGGGAAGACCTGGATGTAAAAGGAAATAATAATATTCAGCATAGATTATTTTATCATTAACAAACTATAGAAGAGGTTTGTTAATTTTTGTTTTAGTAAAATGTGTATATAATATGGTGCTAACTGCCATGTGGGAAACACTGCTTTACACTGTCAGCATTGTCATGGCAGTGCATGAAATGGTTTCACAGTCTCACATGCAGCACATCTTTTTATAAAACTTACTAAATGTTACACATCATATAGATTTTAACTTAGTAAAAGTTATTCACTATATATCTCGATCTATAGGGTCATCATAAGGTGTTTTAAAATTATAAATTATAAGTGAGGAAACTTCTGTGCTTCTGTATCATGGTTTTTGGTTGGTACTATGCAGTTCCTTCTATGTACATGTATATTCGAAGTGGCGGATTGTTCTGCAGAACATCAAATCCTACTTAATGGTTCTTAAATTTAATAATTCTGAGTATTGAACAAGATTGTAAGGAAAAATATCTTGTTGCACTATCTATAAAATGAAGGCAAGTGATAAACTGCTAATAGTACAAGGTGGTTCAAATATGACCGGGACTGATTTTTTTAAAAAAACCATAATTGCCAAACACTTACTTGCACATATCAGTCTTCAACATACTCCCCTCCAGGGTCAACACATTTTCTTCAGTGTTCTAGAAGCATCCTGATGCCCTTTTCAAAAAAGGCTTGTGGTTGGTGGCATATCCACTCCCGAACAGTCTGGATGACGGCTTCGTTGTCCACAAACTGCATGCCTTGCAAGTCTGATTTGAGCCTTCCGAACAGGTAGAAATCACTTGGGGCCAAGTCAGGACTGTACAGCGGATGTGTCAGAAGGTTTCATTTCAATTTCCGAAGGGTTTCCATTGTTTTGGCTGTATGGGGGAGTGCATTGTCTTGAAGGAAGGCTACCTGCTTTCCACCTGTCTTCCGCTTGGATTGGAACTTTTCCTTCACCTCTGTTGCCAGGAGATCTGAGTAATAAGCTGCATTGACTATTCTGGCATCTGTCAGAAAGTCTACAAGGATAACCCCCAGCCAGTCCCAGAAGAATGTTGCCATCATTTTTCCTGCCGAACGGCTCCTCTGTGCTCACTTGGGTTTCGGAGAACTGGTATGCTGCCACTCGTGTGATGACTGCTGGGACTCGGGAATGAAGTAGTGCACCCACGTTTCATTGGTGGTCACTATAGACTTCAAGAATGCATCAACTTTGTCTTCAAACTGCTGTAGGAGACGACTTGCAGCTTGCATGTGCACCATTTTGTTCATGTCCATCAAAGTGCGTGGTACCCACCGTGCATTCACCTCGCGATAGTGCAGGTGGTATTTCATGATATCTTCTACACTACCAACACTGATGGACAGCATTGCTCCAAGTTCTTTGATAGTGATGCACCTGTTCTCACGAATAAGCACGTCTGCACGATCAGTGTTTGGCTCGGTGATGGATGTTTGCGGCTGACGATCATGTGGTTCATTCTCCACGTGCACTCTGCCCTCGCTGAAGCACTTACACCACTCAGACACACGGGTCCATGAGAGACACTCTTCCCATACTGTTATTGGAGTCTGTGGTGAATTTCAGCAGATGGGACGTTTTCTCCAACAAGGAATTTGGTCACAATGCGTTGTTCCATGCTCCGTGGTACCTTCTGTTCGCTCATCATTCTAGCAACTCCCAGACAGGACTGAATAGGTTCTAACCCAAACAGGAGGGAGGGTGGAGGTTGTAGCTTCACTCTCTCAAGGTCACACAGCTGCTGCGCAGTGCGGCTTGTTTACACACAAATCAGTCCCAGTCATATTTGAACCACCTTGTATATTCTCTAGATTACTCTTATATGTGTACAAAATATAAAAGTGAAATTGTCTCATTGACTAAAGAGCACACCATGAGGGCTTACATGGGGAATAGAGGTAAAGCACCCTATAGTCTTAATAGTAAAACTAAATGGAAGTAAATCCTCAGCTTTGTACCATGGCTGCTTTACCTCCAGAGAAAGGGTCCCCACTGTACATGGGTTACAAGGCTACATGGGCTGTATAGTTGGTTGGATAAAGTGGGGAAAATATTATTGCTCCCTTACCAGGAATCCAGCCTCATTCATCCAGCATGTAGCCATTTTACTGAGGTAACCTGGCTCCATTAGTGATCAGAAGAAACCTTTTGCTCAAAGTATCACAGATAATATTTAATATGAATTTACTTGTAAGGCTCCTGATACTCATTCTGATTTTGTAACGTTGATTCTCTACTAAACAGTGAAGATGAGCCATGTTGCTTTTAAGTATGAGAAATTTGTATATAGCTTTGCTGATTGTGTGACTAGAGTCAGTGTTCATGTGTTACACTATAGTACCCTGTTTCCATTTACTGTCAAAGTTAATTTTTAAATGGGACACATCAGCTGTTGGCCTATGCCGATGATGTGAATCTACTTGGTGATAATGTAGATACCATAAAGAAAAATGCACAAACTTTAATTGATGCAAGTCAAGATGTTGGTCTAGAAGTAAACACACAGAAAACTAAGTATATGTTGCTGTCTTGTCACCAACATGCAGGGCAAAATCATGACATAGAGATAGGAAACATGTTTTGAAAATGTGGCACAGTTCAGATATTTGGGAACAACAATAACAGATTGAAACCTGATTCAGGAGGAAATTAAGAGGAGATTGAACTCAGGTAATGCTTGCTACAGTTCACTCCGGAACCGTTTGTCTTCTCATCTGCTGTCCAAAAACATAAAAATTAGAATATACAAAACTGTAATTTTGCGTGTGATTCTGTATGGGTGTGAAACTTGGTCTCTGACGTTAAGGGAGGGACCTATACTGAGGGTGTTTGAGAACAGTGTTGAGAAGAATATTTGGACTGAAGAGAGTTATGCAATATTTAAAATGATGTTCTTAACTATCTTAGTTGTATGTGAATCATTAGAGCATTACAGTATAATGAGCTATTTTCCTTCCACTTTTGCAAAAAAAAAAAAAAATTGGCTCCTCAAGTCATGAAAGTAAATTAAATATTCATTATCAGATTTATTTCATGTTGAAAGTACTGCAGTGTTATCTTATATTCTTTTACAGCAAATTAGATCATGAGAAAAATATTAAAATAATGTTTCAGATGAGCTGTAATTTCCTTCAACCATAAACGTTGTATTAATCTTTTCTTAGCTGAAGTGAAATCATAGTCCAAACTAACCATCATAATGTACCTTTAGAGTAATAATAGTTATGGAGCTGCAACGGCATGCTGATATTCATAGGGTAATTTGTTGGGTTTGTTTATACTTTCTGCATGGCATGTTGTATGTAGCCTGTTGATAAAATTTGTATGCATTTTTAGCATCTTTGTTATGTTTCAACCATTAATTTAGCTTTGAATGTTTCTGTGTTTCAGCCATAATTTCTCTTTGAATATTTCATTGGGTCATTTACTAACTTAGCTTCACTATTTAGATATCTGGAATGATACTGATTCTATACCTAGTGAATTGTAATTATTCCTATTAGAAAAAACAATAAACAGTTTATAGATAATTGAAGATAATAATGCTAAAAATATTTATCCAGTCTAATTTTCTATAATTATGTGTGTATTTTGAATGTTAAATCTGTGATATTGGTTTCTGAATAGCAGAAAGACAGGTTATGAAGCATCGTTGTTAACTTGAATGTTAGGAAGCTTCTCATTTTAGCTGATTTACAAGATGCAAGCTGAAACATGTTTACAGCTTTACATGATTGACAGCAGGTTTATGTTGTATGGCATAGTTTTAATGTGTTTGTCCCATGCCAAAGGCCTAAAATAATAGTGGGTGCAACAGAACAAGGTCCTCCATACCTTTAATTTCCATTTTCTGGTGAGTAGAAGATTAAGATAGATAATTAAAACTCAAAGATTCAGGTGTACTATTTGATTATATCAGGTTTTCCATTTAAATCACAAAGTTTTCCCATCTAAATACTGTAAATTTGGATTGAAAACAGCATCTGAATACATAATCTTGCTGTGTCTGAATGTGCTTCTGGACTGAACAGACTTCATACATCTGTTTTGAAAACACATCTTCCATCATGAACATAACCGGAATCAAATTTAGTAAATAATGTAACCTTTATACACTGTGCTTGTATTGTACATTAATTTTTTGACATAAATTTACTCTAAAATATGATTGCATTGATGAGTATTAGTTTCTTAATACGGTCTTTCCAATTTGGAAAACCCTCTTCCTTCAGTCATTCTTTTGTAAGTGTAACATTATTTGCAAAATGTACTATAAAATTCATATATTGTGTTACAAGAATGTTAATGATTCATGTCAGTTTTTGTTGCATTCACATGCTAAAATAGACCATTATAAGTATGCAGATATGGAGTTTATAGATGCATCAAATAGAATATTTCATTGTCATTCTATTCCAGTACATTGTTCAGAAAATTCCCTAAGTTTAATTAATTTAAAACAGGAAGATAAGAAATGTATCAAGGGAACACTCAGCAATGTGTTTTATATACAGTCTTTACACAGACTGTACCCAGTGAATGTGTCTGTACATCTGCATATTCCATCTCCCAAACTATTTTAGCAGATTTTTGTGAAACGTTGGTGTTGAACTGGTATACTGAAAGTAGTTAGGAAATTTTATTTTGTTTGAGTAAGTTCATTATCATTTCCGTTTATGCGAATCTTAAATCACCCACCACTGGTACGTTTCATAAAATACAGATCTCACTAAAATATATAACTTTTACACAAAACATTTTTTGATGTCCTGTATATTTAACAATATATGAGGAAAGGATAATGTATTCTATACAAGGTAGTATCATTTTGTTTGGGATTATTTTCATCAGCATTGGACTTGTATCTGCAATAAATGATGTCTGAATAATTGAAATATTAAGAAAGTGTAAAGAGTACTTGTGGAAATTCTATATACTGCACACTGGAATATATGTATTATGTCAAATTGTGTTGTATGATGCCAGCAGTGCAGTTATTTTGACAAGTGACATGTTAAACCGGCTTTATATAGAGAAATCTTAATTACTGGTCTGCTGTATTCTAGAAGGCAAAATTTGCACATGATCTTCTCCTCTACCCTCCAGTGATTGATCTTTTTGAGATTGGACTACAAATTATGAACCTAATGTCTGAAAAATTATTACAAAATTATGAAGTGTGTTGATTTGAGTGAATGTGCAAACTTCAGAATAACATTTCTCTTGTAGAAAACCACATAAAATGTTATTGTAGCCCATTATTATTTATTAGCACATCCATTATTGGTAAGATTTGGTAGTCTAGTAACTGAGCTGTTTCATAAAGTTTAGAAATGTGTGTAGAGAAACGGCATGCCTGTGGACGTGACAGCCATGCTATTGGTTCCACATGCCAGATACAGTTTGTTATGGTTTTGTTCTTGTGCTAGGTGTTCATTTGTCCCCCCCCCCCTTGCACATGCGCACACAGAAGCCTGTGGTGTGTTCCTTTCATGTTTTGACTCCAGCAAATTAATTAGCTAGTCTTTCATTTTTTATATGCTCCTACCACCACAGCATTTTATTTTACATTCATTGTGTGTTCCCATTACACCTTTTATTTATATTGTCCATATCTACTTGCAACATTCATATCATTAGTACAAGCTTAATAGTCGATACATAACATAATTTATGAGGCCATTGCTAATTCAGATTGTTAATTGACAGAGCAAAACCTTGAAGTAACAGTAATAAAATGATTATGCAGGGTGTAGCTGACAGGTGAGGACAGAGTTTGGGCTCGAGTTCACATACCAATACAAGAAAAATGTCCATATCATCATGTGTCTAGAAACATTAAATTTGTGAGTTATAGCTGAAACAGGTGCATTTATAATAAGTGCTCAAATTGTCCTCATTGAGATTCAGTGCACGCCTTGACATGTCTCATCATGGAACACTGCATCCATTCAGAGATGTCAGGGTAGTTGCAGATATTGTGACAGACACCTACAGTGCAGTGGTGAAGTGCCTCTTCATTGTCAACAGGAGCTGCATACACAAAGGTTTTTGAGTGTCCCCACAGATAAAAATCCAGAGGATTTCAAATCTGATGAGCGTGGAGGCCATGCATTTGCTCCTCCTCTACCTCTCCATTGGTCATGATATTGAGAACATCTCACACAACATGGCTAAAATTTGCTGCAGCACCAGCCTACAGTCTTTCAGCTGTATCTCAAAAATTAAATGTTTCCTGACACATGTTGATATAGACTCTCTTTTTTTTTTTTTCTTTTTTTCTTTTTCCTTCCCCCCCCCCGTTTTGAACTTGTGCCAAAAGTTTGCCTGCACCTTTCATTTGCACTCTGTATAAAGTTCAAAAAACTCTGCTGTTGTGGCATGCTTGTGTTATTCATGTGGTAACATTTCTACTGGATTGTCATTTTAAATGCTCTGTATGCTTGGTGTTCTGTAAATCATGAGGCCATCTCTTGTATGTAGTAATTTCTTACAGTCTTATTAAGCAAGTTTGCTATGATATGACTGTTTAGTATGTAGGATGTCTGTTGAATAAATACAAATTCTGGCTGTCCTATATGAGGGGTTTCTACGTTTCCTGGGTTTCTGTACAACAGCTTTTATCATAATCATCGCTATTGCCCTCATTCTTTTTAGTTGTATTTCAGTGATGCATAAGGGACTTTCAGTGTGACTTGGTTTTCAGCCAGCATATTGATTTGTCGTGTATAGCTCCCATCTGTATTTTGCTGAGTTACATTTCTTTTTTCATTGTGATTTAGTTCAGAGCCATTCCTATAGATAAGAAAAAAATATTGCCTATTTCCATATTTGAAATAGCACATTAAAATATTTTGTTTATGAATTGAGTTTATAGAAATTTCTGAACGTGAGACATGAACTTAATAAGAAAAGGAAAGAAATGTGATATTCCTGCACCTATATGTCTGCTGCTTAGCGGTCTTAAGTGGCAAAGCACACTGCCGGGTTTTTGAGACTAAGCTTCCTAAAAATTAGGAGAATTCTAATTCGATTTTCCAAATATCTCAAGAGATAAATAAGATCTAAAAGTTTATGATGTTGGTCTCCAAAATGTTATGTTTTAAATAAAAAACAAGACAATGGATAATGTCCCAAAACACAATAATTATACATCAAGAAATAGCTTGGGGCAGTAATCCAGAAATTTGCTGCATTCACAACATTTTATTGGCTAGATTTATCTTTCCTAAATGATTGCTCTTTTACAATGCATTTTATTAGCTTTAATATGCTTTTGTTTTACTTTTCTTCTAGGGTTACTACAAAGATACCGTAGAATTTTTCTTTGAAGGTCGAAATGAGTGCAAAAATTTCTGGAAAAAGTGTGTAGAAAACCATGGCTTCTTCCGTTGCTCAGCTGTGAAACATGTCCCAAGGCAGAAAACCCGCGTCTTGAGTCGAGGCTCTTCCTTCAGGTTGGTGTCATGGATTTATACGTTGTTTACATCCTGCGTGCTACTGAGTTACATTATTTTGTTATTTGAGTTAGGTTATAGCAGAAGATTTAGAATTGTTATTTCTTTTATGTAGGTACAGTGGTAAGACTCAGAAGCAAATTGTTGAGTTTGTACGTGAGAACTATGTGAAGAGGCAGACATTTCAGAGGTAAGTGTGTTTGTAACTTTTTTATAATGGTCATATCAAGTAAGGTAAAGGTACATTCCCTGTGCTTAATTAAGTACTGTGCCATAAAGATATAGGTGGGAGTGGAGGAATAGCTCCCTCATTCTTTGCCTTGGCACTAGACAAAGGTGAGTGGCCAGCTTCATGCCCTGGCTGCTTTGCACCCAGGGAAATTGTGCCTGGGGTCCCATTGGATAGGAAGCAGGGTGGACCCCTGCTGGTCTGGATGCTGTGTAGAGGAGAAAAATCTTGCCTCTGCTGGGAATCGAACCCAGGCCAACCAGCCCATAGCCTGTCACTATACCGACTGAGCTACTATAATTGATGTTGATGTAAATAAGAAGCTTTAAGAATTTCAGGGAATAATGATTATGTACTGCTCAACAAATATATGTGGTGCAATCCAAAAGTTCCCGAAATATATTAATAAAAACTATTACATCTTACCTAGATCATATTCTGCACCATCACCTTCAAAGTAGTCCCCTTGGGAGCGCATACACCGATGCCAGCGTTTCTACCACTTTCCAAATGCATCCTGGAAGTCTTTCTTTGTTAGGGTGTTTAGTACTGTCTGCGTTTCCGCTTGAATTTCCTCACCTGTATCAAATCTTCGCCCCCTCAACTTGATTTTCATCTTGGGGAAGGGAAAGAAGTCGCATGGAGCTAAGTCTGGCGAGTACAGTGGGTGGGGAACAACTGCCATCTTGTTTTTAGCCAAAAATTCCTGCACAATGTAAGCCGTATACGGTCGTGTGTTGTCATGGTGGAGTACCCAGTCGTTCGTGCGCCACTTCTCTGGACGTTTTCTCCTCATGTTCTCCCTAAAACGCCTTAGAACATTGCGATAGAACTTTTTATTGACTGTCTGACCAGGAGGGATGAACTCCTTATGAACAATCCCGTCAATATCAAAAAAACAGATCAACATGGACTTAATGTTGCTCTTGACTTGTCGAGCTTTTTTTGGCCGAAGTGAAGAAGGGCTCTTCCATTGCGACAATTGCTGCTTACTTTCAGGGTCGTAGCCATAAACCCAACTTTTGTCACCAGTGACAACCTTCGAACAAAAGTTTGGATCCTCTTGAAGCTGTTGCTGAAGTTCCCTACAGACTTCCAAGCGATGCTGTTTCTGTTCATTTTGCAGCAGTCGTGGCACAAACTTCACCGCAATCCTCCTCATGTTCAGTTCCTCTGACAAAATTCGTTGACATGTACCATAACTTAGTCCCAAGGTATTACAGAGGTCTTGGATGGTCAGTCTACAATCTTGCAGAATCAGATCCCTAACGTTCGCAACATTTTCTGGTGTTTTGCCCGTTGACGGCCGTCCCGAACGATCGTCATCATCAGTCAATGTTCGGCCATTTTTAAAACACTTATGCCAGTTGTAAGTTTGTGTCTGGCCTAAACTGTTTTGACCAAAAGCTTGCTTCAACATTTGGTGCGTTTCTACAGCTGTTTTCCCAAGTTTGAAACAAAACTTTATACAGACATGCTGCTCTCTCAGGTCAGCCATCGCAAAACCGCAAACTCACAGAAACACAACAATGGAAATACGTTCACCAACAGTAAACCAAACCACTCAACTTGACACCGCTTGCCACACTGATTCAAGAAAGATGTGTGAGGAGACACCTAGTGGTATTTCGATGTACTTATAACCATTCGCGCACAGAGTTCAAATTTCGGAAACTTTTGGATTGCCCCACATATTAGAGTTACCAAATTGGGGGGGGATGCACAGAATTACTAGATTTTTTACTTTTTCCATTGTCTGGTATTCTAGAGAATAGAATACATGACGTTTCAGAAAGCGGATCTGTTTCCATCCTCAGGTGAAGGGGGGAGAAGACACCTGCTCAGTTGGGCCAATTAGAAAGAGCTAATCCAGTGACTGAGATTAGTTCCTTCTAAGGGGCCCAACTGAGTAGCTATCTTCTCCCCCCTTCACCTGAGGATGGAAACAGATCTGGTTTCCGAAACTTCATGTTTTCTGTTCTCTAGAAATCCAGACAATGGAAAAAGTCCCAAAACCTGGTAATTCTGTGTGTTATGCACCACCATCAGAACCCTCTAGAATCTACAGGAGGTGATGATTTGCATGAGACATGGAGCACTTGGCATGAGGAGCACATACAAAATTTGAATAGGAAAGCTTGGAAGGGAGCGACCATTTTTGAGACTGAGGCATGGGTGGGAGGATGACACTGAAAAGACCTAAATAAACCAGAGTCAGTGGGTGTCGACTAGTTAACTGGCTAAGGCTAGGGTCAGGTGAGCAGCCTCTTGTGGACACAGTATTGAACCTTCACTTAAATTTCTTGACTTGATGAGCAAAACTATTAGCATACTAAGGACTCTTCATGGATCTAGTTAATTATAGTTTTATTTGCTAAAAGTGAGAGAAAATCTTAATTGTTTAAGGAATTAATAAAATAGGATAAGGGGCTATATATATATATATATATATATNCAATTTTAGATTGACTGATTATTAGTTTCTTTCCTTGGTTATCCTAGATAGTATCTTACCAGTAGCCTACCTACCCACCCACCCCATCCATCCTCCCTCCCACCAGCATACTCACTTACCCATCAGTCAGTCTTAGATCTGTTCCAACCATTGTTATATTTTGTTTGCTTTGTGTTTGTAGATTAGATTATGTCAGGTTAAATAACTTTCCATAAGTGTAAGATTTGAGGCTTTCACGGCGGTGACTATGAAGAAAGCAGTCTTCTGGGCTTTGGCGCCGTCCATAAAGCTGGCTAATCAAAACAAGAATTGGTGGATCTGTCTGTGATTTTAACTGTATAATATTGACAACCTGAAGAATTTGAAAATTCCTTATCATGCAGTTGTTTTGCATGTTGGTGCATTTTTGGTGTTGCATGAACTATATTATTTGCATGTTGTATTAAATAATGATTGAAAAGAATTTAAGACGGAGCAGAGTTACAAGTGTTTTTTTTTGGTTTGAAAAGAATTTAAGACGGAGCAGAGTTACAAGTGTTTTTTTTTTTTTTTTTTAGTTTAATTAATGTATGAGGAAGCTTATTATGGAGGCACAGACGTGTGCTGCGAAACTCTGTGCAGATAACCAATATTCTACAAAGTCAAGGAGGCTCTTCATAATGTTGAATAAAAAAAGTTATTGTAAAATAATTAAATCTCAGTAGGTTTATGTAGGGTCATGTCTTAACCTTTTTCTTGTGCTGCCTTTTATTATTGCAGTAGCGCATGTATGTAGTCCAGCTGGCCGAGCATTGCAGTTTTTAAATGATAATGCTGTTATCACTAAGTTAATATCTGGCTGTTAGTCTGTAGTACCAGGGAATTTTAAATTCCTTATTCCCAAATGCTAAAGGTTAGTGTGGGGTTACATGGCCACAAATTCCCTTAGATGCGTCAGTAATCACCAAGATATGGTACCATATTACAGAATACAAAGGAAACAAGAGGATACCCAGAACATGAGGATCAGTTATGGAAGAGTTTCAAAATTGAGTTAAGAAAAACATAAATGGCCAATGTGACAGGTATTTTTAATATAAGACACAGTATATATAATTTTTCCCCAAAGCAATCTATTATATGAGATATCTTGAAAGAGACTTTACATGTTTCCCATAGGATTTACTTTTCACCTTACTACAGAGTGAGGATCAGGCTGGAAACATGAAATTTGATACATTGAGGAGTTTTCTGCTGTCGTAAGTAAATCAGGTACTGAAAAGTGCTGTTGTGATCTGTATATGTACCTGGCACGAATCAGACCCATTTTTTCACATTTCGAGGAAATAACCTAGTACTTAGCTGAGTGTGGTATAATCCCTACCTATGAGTATGTAGCAAGTTGAGATCTGCTGTTCCTATTATGATACTGAATAAACAACATAGCCTCACCAAGGAAATCAAGACTATTTTACCTTACTCTTGGGAAGAAATGGTTGTACAATTAGGGTTCTCATGTTCTTTTTTAATATTTATTTTGTTTTAGACAGTATTCTTAGTTCACATATTTTTTCTATTACTATGTCAAAGAACTGTTTATTGTAAAATATTTTTAGTTCACATATTTTTTCTATTATTACTGTGTCAAAGATATTACACGTATTAAAGATAAGCAGTGGCATGCACACAGGGAGCCTACACAGAATAATACCTGAACAGTGCTCAAAACAAGAAGTAGCCGTTGCGGCACTATAGACATAGAGCGGGCACCCCTGAGAATTTTAAATTTTAAAATTTGAAAACAATTTTAAAGAAACATTTTTAAATTGGAATTGAAGATATTAAAAGTGCCAGTTTTTTGAAAATCAAATTGACGTGTGTAGGTAACAAAGATTTTGCACATATCTGACAGATATCAGCAGGGAGAATTCTGATATATCGAAACCTGTTAGCAACGGAGAAGTGAACAATTGGGAAGACTAGTGTTTTTTAAATTTTGATCTACGTGCAGTGTAGCAGCTACGTGAGAGTATACGCCTGATGATGGCCATTTACGGCCAAAACATGTATTGAAGAAAAGGAAGATGAAAGAACTACAATAAATTGTTGCACTTAGGATGGAGTTTTATGTCATATATTGTGTAGAAAGTAACAGGATGCTTAAATATAATATTGTCAAAGATCTGTTTATTGTAAAGAAGAGAACGAATAATATTTCTGATTACATAGTCCTTCCCGGTCTTTAGATGAGGATTTGTTTGAAGTGCATATTTGATCCCCACTATACTGCAGAACTCATTGCAGTGTGGATCCTTGTTTGACACAGAATTTTTCTTTTATTCTGATTGTGCATATGTATGTTATACATATTCATAGTAAAAGAAAACTGAATATATCTTTGAAAATGTATCAGTTTTCTATATTTTTCAGCCCATCATTCCACTCCCCCATACACCTTCATGATGTAGTGCTTAATTAGTTAAGCACAGGGACAACTTTACCTATACCTTACTGAACTCTTGGTGGTAATAGTCCTTGTGTAACATCCTTTCCATTGAGAGAATATGCCTTTAACTTCTTAGCATGGACCACATAGAAGACACTGTTCTTCTGTTGTTGTGTGCCTATTCATTGCTATGGGAACATGTTCACTGCCCAGTACTCCAATATATGGCACTTAAGACATAACTCCACGATAAAAAGTTATCGTGTGTCATATTTGGTGAATATGGAGGCCAAATGATTGGACCAAACCTCCCTGTTCACTTCTCAGGCATGGTCCCATGCCTCCAAGATGACCAGATTTGACACCCTACAATTTTCTAGAGTTATGTCAAGATACCAAGTATGGATGTACTGGGCAAATGGCCAGTTTACATGTACTCAAACACCAGATCACTGCAGCTTGGTAACCCCCCAGAGATGGGCTAAAATTTGTTATTGGCTAGCTATCAGTTTATAAACCAAGGAATTTTGTGTTTACCGACTCGATCATGTACCTATCATTATGTCCAGTGTTTAATGGATACTGTGGTAAATTATTTATTATAATTTTATTATATTTGTTATATCCTGATTCAGAGCCAGCTTATTAGCAGTAAACCACTTAGTCATACATCTGTATCACAGTGTACAGAAATCATCAATGTTTATGCTAGAAATATGACAGTAGTGTCATCAGTGAATATTATGGGTACTTGTAAGGTTTGAGGGAGGTAATTTCTATAAATTATGAAAAACAAGGACCCTAGAATTGGCCCTTGGGAAACTCCATGTTTTATTCCTCCCCAGTTTGAGTTGGAATTTTGGAGTGTATTGTATGATTTGATTTTAATCTTTTGCTTTTTACCTGTTAGATAGGATTTGAACCAACTCTTCACTCTTACTTGATTACCAAAACATATAATTTAGTTAGCAAGACTTAATGATTTACACAGAAGCATTTGCTAAGTTACAGGATAAACTTCCAACATGCATTCTTTGGTTAATAGATTTTAATACACAGTTTGTTAGTTTAAAGGCCACATTTTCAGTGTATATTCCTTTCCTGAAGCCAGGCTGTTCTGGGGCTAGTGTTATTAGTCTGCAAATAAACATTTAACCAATTGCACCTAACTTTCTTAAATACTTTAGAAAATGTGGTTAACAGTGTCCATGTCCATGTCCGTCCTAAACTGTTTGCATTGAGATAGTCTCTTTAGAAACTGATTAAGGTTTCCTGAAGGATCTCTGTACATGCTTAATATAATTAGGTTAGCTGTTTTAGTTTCCAATTCAGTCGCACAGCTTTATAAATGCTTTCTCTTCGCAGTGATGCATGAACCAACATGAGGTTGCTGTGTTTAGTGTGTAGTGTTAAAGAAGCACTTTGTTTCTTTATATAATGTTGACAGTAGCTGTTGAACACACAGTATTCATTGTTTATCATGATAATGTTTGTGTTCCTTTCCCTTAATTAGAACTTCAGAAGGTCCTTGTTTATAACGTTATGAAGTTGATGTTGCATTTAATATCATTCACTATAGAAAAATCCTTTATGTCGCATGGTAACCATAAAATGGTGTTTCTGTACAGGTTCAAAAAGAAGAGAAAGGACTTTATTTTTAGTGTCCTACAAAAAATAGCTTTTTTAGCTGGTGGGGGACTCTTCTGTATACAATGGTTGTAATCTGGTAATTACACAATTCTGAATTTTACTGTTAAAACAAAATGGCGATCATGAAATACAAAAAAGAATTAGAGGCTTGTTGTGAGAAATTTTCTGTTATATGTATACAGCCTGTATGAGTATGTAATGTTTTGCTCTAGCATACCTCTTCTTCCGCTCAGTAGAGATTTACTCTATTTGCAAACAAAGTTCTAATAAAATTATTTAAACTTATGAGAGATGAAGCAATTGAGGATGTAGAAAATTACTTTTCAGTGAACATCAAAATTTGTATTTTTATTTTATTATTTAGTGTAATTAAATGAAGAATAATATGGTTAGTGGAGCCTAGAGCATGCATGAGGTGCAAGAGATGCAACTAATTATTGTGAGGAAATCTCAAGAAAAGAGGCCACTTATAAAATCAAAATGGGAAGCATAAATTAGATTGTAGTGATTTAGCTGGTTTTCTTTGATACATTTGTCAGCTTTCATTTTAGTCATGATGATGCTTGGGATGCTGTATTCCAGGGGGAGTCAATCAGTCAGTCAGTAATTTATTAAAAGTTTAATTGTTAAGGATGTGCAATAGATATGTTTGGCATAGATAATGGAGTTTTTTTTTTTTAAGGAAAAGTGGGCAGCTGGCACGTTTATGTTTAAACTGTCAGTGAAACATGTAAACAGTTACTCTCAAGAAGTACAAGTTATTCTTGAAGAGATTACCTTGTATGACTTAAGAGTACAAAATATGAAGTACGGGGCAGAACTCATGAAATCTGCTTTTCTGCTGTACACACTAAGCCTACAGATCTTTTGTTGTTAATGTTATATATTTAGGTAGTGTGCATTAATAATCCAACAATAAAATACAAGTTTCCTCATGGGTTAGCTACTAGAATCTGTGAGTGGTTCAGTCTTCTCAAGTTAGAATATTTTTGTCACAGCTTACAGGTGTAAATACATTATACTTACCACCATTGTCAATGAAGAATGGATTTTGACTGCATTAAATTTGTCAGATATAATGTTATGGACCATTGCAACGTTTATGATCTACTTGTGTATGAAATTTCATATTTCTTGCCCCATTGTCAAACCGAATTAACATTTTCACACGTCTGCTGTGCTGTTAGATTGGAGTGGCCTCCAGTTGTGAAACTGACTCACAGATTGCATGGTCTTCTCATACACCTGCTTTCTTTCTTTCAAGAAAGTAGAGTAGGCTAACATGTAATTTTTATTATAAATGTCTTATGTTCTTGCAGTGGAAAATCTTGCTGGGGGTAATTGGAGGTTGATAGTACTGGCTAGATCATAATGTAAAGTTATATGTATATTAAGCATTGTGTAAAAATGTCATAATACATGTAGAAGTAGAGGTAAAGTTATTTTTGTGTTTAACTAATTAAACACTATGCCATGAAGGCATATGAGGAAGTAGATGTAGACATCCACATTTTCTTGACCTTGGCACTAGTTATAAGTGAGTGGTCAGCTTCACGCTTCGGGCGCTTTACTCCCAGGGAAAAGCCCCATATACCCTTGGGTAGAGTGGACCCCAGAGTTTGTCTGGACGATGTACGGAAAAGAGAAAATTCTTGACCCTCCCAGGACTCGAAGTCTGACCCCTCTGTCATCCAGCCTGTAGCCAGTCACTATACCAACTACACTATCCTGGCTTCTGTCATAATAGAAGTATGGTACATAAAAATTACTAGTGTATATGTTAGAAATAGAATGACAGACTCCAGATATTGTGATCTAAATTCTTCAGTTATGTAACCCCACACATTTTATTTGTAAATAGGACAGTTTAGTGCTTGAGTTTGTAGCATTTTGGTTTGATTTTATGTTGAACTGTGGATTTATAATAAGTGACAGTATGTGTAACATGTTTCTGTTTATTGATGTCTTAACAATGTGTACATAAATAGAAAATATATGAGATTTAATCCTGTGTTTAAAGGGAAGGAAAATTTGTGTCATTCGATAAATACTTGTATTATCCATTGTTTCTCCATTTTGTTCATGCGGTTATGCCATTGTACTATATAATCAAGACCTGTATGCTGATTTTGAAAGCCTTGAATGTGTTAAGTGTTTTGATGTGGTATATGTTGTAGGCTTTGGAATGTATTTTCTTTCAAGAAGTTTGTTTTAGTATACTATGTATTTATTTTGTCTTTGTAAATGGAATGTGAGGGGAAGGGGAGGAGGATGCGAATTTCAAGATAATTGCCTCAAATATGTTACACTTAAACTACTAATTCAAAAAAGGAATGAAAACGAAATTAAAGTTATACAGAACTTATATAGACTGGAAGATTTTTAAGCTTCATTTCACATATATAATTCCAGAAACTAACCACCAATAAATGCTGTGATATGGTTAAGATTGAATTGTTAATGTTGTTAGCAGAAACCACTATGTGTATTGTGTGGGCGAATAAAGAAGTATGTGGTGGTTCGCCTAGTGACTAATTCACTTCCTCTTCTCTGCTTCTCCCTGCAGGTCTCAGTCGTTCCGTCATTCGAGCTCGGCTCACTCGAGTGTTGCGAACGTTGTGGGAACCAGCTTATCAGCACACCCCTTGTTACCTCTTGGAGATAATGCTGTCGGTAGGTGTTCTAATGCAGCATGCCTTTCTTCTGTTGATTTTATTTTTACTTTTATTCTTCTATGATTCTCTTGAGATACCCTTCAGTTGTCATGTGTAAGGTGTTTACCATCGTACTGCACTGCTGTAAATTATAATGTTTTGTTGCCAGAAGCATGCATGAATTTTGTTTTAAATGATTTTGATAATATGTGTTCAAAATTTTCAAATGTTTATTCAACGTATTTTGATTAGTAATGAATGGTAGTACTTTAGGTGATGCCATAATTGAAGATGTATAAAAATATGTATGACATCCGTTTTTTCCCTCTTATGTAAAAGTTTTGACCATTTTCTACCCAATTTTTAAATTTTGTTGGACTGATTTTAAATTCATCACTTTGTATTATGAGATACATTTGAGTGAACTGTGGCATGTGGTATTACAACCTCTCCATTTATTGCACCAAATAAATGTTTAAATACACTCCTCTTCATATTGAATATAACAAAGTTTCTTGGTTAATCAAATTAGGTTCGCAAGACATTACAGGTTCTTGGGTCATGATATCTTGTGCTCTGTTTCCTGTTATTCATAGACAGTATTGTCCCATATCCATCCAAATGTTGCTTTTCTAACAGGTTCTGAATGGTCTGAATATAAGTGTATGAGATCCACATGCTCTGAGGTGTGTAATAATTGTACTACTTTGTCATTTCAGATTAAAGAAGTATTTTATGAGTTCCTTCCATTTAAGAAATGAGTTTATTTTATTTTTAATCTGCTTTTGTTATTTCTAAAAAATAGAAGTAGGCTTATGGGATCACCTTGCTGTACATGTATATATGTGTATCCCCCACAATAACTTTCGAACATCTGATCTCAGTGTCATACTTGATAAATCTCTCTCATCGTATTGTATGGTATTATATTTTATTTCATCCGTTTTGCTGCATAGTAACACTTGGACAAGTCATTTGGTAATACAAGTATTTGGTAATACAAGTTAACAAAATAAATCTACAAAGTTACAAGCATACTACCAACATTTGTTACACTCAAAAGCAATATATAAACACAACATTTAAAGAAATATACAAACTACTATATACAGCTCATGAATGGCTATGACATCCAAACGAAAGTACTTGCACCATCCACTCTTTTATTGAAACTAACAAATTCATTTATTGTATAAAAAGAATGTTTCAATAAAAACGATTTTAAGTCTTTTTTAAAAGCTGAAAAACCCACCAAGTTTTTTATTTTGTTTGGCACCTTACTATACAATTCTATCCCCATATTTACCACACTTTTTTTAAATAATACAGTTCTGCAGAATTGAACATGGAAATCCTTGTTTATTCTTGTATTATAACTATGAATATTTATATTTTGGATCAGATCTGCTTTGTGCTTTTTTATGTAACATAACACCTCTAAGATATTCAAAGATGTGACTGTGAGGATGACATAATCTTTCAAAATTTGCCTGCATGACTCTTTGTTTACCAAGTCCACTAATTCACAGCACCATCTTCTGCATTTTAAATACTTTTATACTATCACCTTCACCCCCCAAAATATTATTCCATATCTCAATAATGATTGAAACTTTCCAAAATAAATGCTTCTTAACATATTTGGACTCAAAACTCCTCTTAGTTATTTAATTATATAGGATGTTTTACTAAGTTTTGAACATTATGATTGGATGTGGGTATTCCATTTCATCAGTAATATGAGCACTGTAGCCTCTCAAATTGTTGAGGTAATAACCTTAATATTACTTGAAGATGTCAATAGATTGTCATGAAACTTGGTATGTGTATCATGCCACCTGAGTCCATCTCAATCGCATACTACATAAATCCCTCCAATCAGTAATATCAACTTTGCAGCCTCTCAGATTGTTGATGTAATAACCTTAATAATACTTGACTGCCTGTACCAGTCATAAGGAAACTTGGTTTATATATTAAGCTACCTAAGTCCATCTAAATCACATCTATAATACCAACACTACAGTTTTTAAAATTGTGTTGATTTACTGACTTTTGTTACATATACGTACTAAAGTTTTTTCTTCCTACTTGTACCAAGTTGCAATGAGAGGAAAGTAGGCAATTAGTTTTTCCCAGAACTTGTTGTTTATTTTACCATTATGTTTGTAGTAAGTAGTTTATGAATTTTGTATTTTATTTGTTGCTGGTGCTTTTTATGACATACTGTTGCTGAGGTTTGTGAAGTCATATGAGAAAAATGTAGAAAATATCTTAAAATCGGTGTTTTCTTGATGTAAATATAATGCATGGGTGACAGAACTGGTACTTTGTGATTCTGATATCTACTGTATCTCAGTTATAATATTTCAGTAAGTGTGTCATTCCATATTAAATCCTCTAGTTCAGACACAATATACTGATTATTGTTATTTCTAATACCTACTGTTCTTTATTACCTAGTCATATTCTTTCTGAATAAAAAGGAACTTTTCACTTGAAGACTAATATATTTTTGGTCCAGTTTATCATACTGAATCACATTTTGCTTATTATGCCCAAACTAATATATAATTAATGCATATTGCAGTCGGCACTCCAGCATCTCTCTCATGCGGGTCGATGACATTGGGTTCAATGATGGAGCACCAGCGGGGGGTGGGCACCCACTCGCACCACCACCACCGCCACCACCATCACATCAGCAGGGACCGAGCTGGCAATGCGAGTCCTCTCCTATCCCCGACACACACTGCAGATATCCACGACTTCGATACCCGGGACCTGACCATCATTACATCAGGAGGCATTGGGACTACGAGCCCATCACCCCCCCTCACCACCTCCCTCTCACCAGGTACATCGATCACATCCAGCCCACAACATTTTTACCCGGGTGGGCGCCAGACAGACGACGAGGAGCAGGAGTACACCACTGCAGTGACAGAACAACGGGAGACATTGGGTACTGGCGGGAGTCAACGTCAGAGTCCTTACCAACACCAGAACACAGGTCAGAGCAACTATGGCAACACCCACTCTCGCCAGTGTCCACATCACATTCACACTACTACTTCTCTAACCCCAATTACTACACATATTATCACACAACATCCTACAACCCTGCCTCGCTCTAACACTAGCAAATCTAAATCTAATGCTTCTAACCGTATGCAGCAATCTGACAGGAAGTCTAACCAGGTTTTATGTAGGCACGACTGGCAGAGGAGTGCCAGCTGCAGGAATCTACGTGGTGAGTGTAGGTTTGAAAAAGGGAGAGAAGGGAGTACTTGTACTGATCCTGTAGGGGATGGAAGGATATACTATGAATCTCTGTACAGGCAGGAGCGTCTCTTAGAATCCCCCATCACCCGCTATGATGATAGTCGGCGAACTTGTTATAGTGCTGCAGGGAGTAAGACAAACTCAGTGGACCGGGAACCAAATACAGTTCCTGATACTAGAATTTACTCAAGTAGCTATCCTGGCACAACTTCAAGCCTCTCTACAGAGAGTGGTGGTGGGGATGAGTCAGGGGGGATGATGGAAGCTGGAAGTGAGTGTATCTTGCTTACAACTGGGGGGATGGACTCAGGATCACAGGAGGAAATTCTGTACTCACATGATGATCTCTCACATGATTCATATGAGCTGTTGGAACGTGAGGGAGAGGAGGAAGGGGATGATGAACAAGAGGATGATGATGAGAAGGATGCATTGAGACGCAGGGTCAAATCATACTCAGGGACAAGATCCTGCAGTCTGGAATCTGGTGGAGACATCCTTCCAATGGATGAAGTAGACGGAATGCTCGGGATTGGACATGATAATGATATGGCTGTGTTCCAGATGGATGAGATTGAAACGTTCGGTTCTCAAACTTATGTGAAGGAAAGAGGCACTGAATCTAGTCATGAAAATGTGATAACAGAATTGCAGAGTACAAATACTGATATTGATGAAAGAAAGGGCCAAGATTTAAAGTTTGATGACAGTGTTATTAGAGAAAGTAGAGAAGTTCAGACGTTGCTAGTACAGTCGCCACAGTTTGATAGGCATGGACATACAGGTTTTGATGGTACAGACAAACCAGAGGCTATTATGGATGTAGGAAGCGTGTTATATGTACCTCATGAACATAAACCTAAAAGTAGTGAGGAGAGATATATATGTGATTCAAATACAGATATTACAGCTGAGAATGAAGAAGGGCTTCTCCATACAAAAAGCAGCAAACAAGCACAGACACACTTCCTGGAATACAATGCTAATTGTAAACCAGGGATAGTAGTAGGTTTTGAGAGCAGAGAAGAGATACTCATTAACGGTGGTAGAAATATGACTCACACTCCAGTTGAAAGAGCAAAAAGTGACCCTCATACAAGTAGTTTTAGGACAAAGGGCAGCAGTAAGAGGAAGAGGCGAGTGTTGACCCATCAGAAGTCCATAGATATGACTCCAGTGGGGAGTGGAGAATCAGATGATGATGGAGAGGGAGATGAATCATCACGTTATGCTGATGCTATGGCCATAAGCCGTAGTGAGTATAATATCCCATACACATTACACAAAAGACATGCAATGAATGGAACTGCTCCTAGCCAAGAAGCTGCTGTACTCCATTCAGTAGAAATGTTAACTGATGACTGTAAAGCACAGAAGTCAGACTGGAAGCCAGTTTTAGAAGATAAACGTGACAATCACTTAAGTAGAGTGGATGGAGCAAAGGCATCAGATGACAAGCAGATTGCCCCACAGCACAGTTCTGATAGTTTTGGGGGCTTAGAAATGTTAGCAAAAGTAGAAAAAAGATTTGATGCTGCAGAGATTTCACACATGGTTAGGAGTGCTGATGCTAGTTATGATGCAAAGGAAACCTCCAAAGTTATTATTTCACCAAGCATTGATGCAGTTGATGATAAGTTACCTGAAGCAGCAAGAAGGAGCAGACTGGGACCTCCAGCTGAACTACCTACAGGACCATTACTGCCTAGGAAGCGTGACCGCTCCCCCATTTTATTTGCACGAGCTCGACTTGGTCTCTCAGAAGGCTCTGCATTTTCACCAGTACGTCAAGTAGGATCTCCTGCATCTTCACGTCGAGCCAAGTCTCTGGATGCCCCAGTTGTGGCTGTGCATCATCTTCCACCTGCTGATGCTTTCTCAAGCAAGGATGACACTCTGGATAATGGCACTGGAAAGTCAGAACCTCTGAAGCCTCTGGAGATAATAGCTAAAAGACTGCCTTCCACAATAGAAGATGAAAGTGATATTCTAGAAGATGAGAGACAAGATTCATTAGACAGACAACTAAAATGGGAACCCCCAAAACAGATGCATCACCCACTGGCAAGAGATACTCAATGTAATATGGATGAGGAAGTGATTGCTGATGTAGTTTTAGATTCACCACTAGACAAGCATGGTCTTCTGTCTCAAAGCGCTAACTTAAAACTCCCATCTCCAGAAACTGCAAGCAGAGATGCAGTGAAGAGTGCTTCTTCTTCTTCTGTTGCTACTGATAAGGAAAATATGGTTTATCAACATTTGAAGGAAGAATTTCTCACAAAGAATGAGAAGCCTGTAAAATCTGAATCTGAAGCAGTAGAGAAATCTCAAGATGATACAATTATTCAGTTGTTATCTTCACCAGTGAATAATGATGTCACACCACATACTGAATTGTATGTTGCAGAGGAACATACTGCTGCTAATAAAATTCAAGTACCTTACAAACCCGTAAGTCTGAAATCGTTAAAATTTAATGAAGATGCAGTGAAAGGTAAAAGTGAACAGGCTTCAGGACATGTACATGAGCATTCTGCTCTTAAATTTGTTATTGATAATACAAATGAAAAAGCAGAAGAACACAAGAAAAAAAGCAGTTCTATAGAATCTCATACTCAAAGTCATGACCTTGATTCACTTCAAGGAAGAAGTTCAGAAATTGATGCAAGGGATGAAAATATTTCAGAAAAAGTAATGACCAGAAACATTAGTTCTGCAGCAACACATTTTTCTGATACTATATTGGATACTGACCCAGAATTAGATGAAATATTAGAAGAAAATTTGGGCCTCGAAAGTGTTTCCGGTGTCAGTTGTGAATTAGATCAACATTTTAAGGCGAAACAAAGAAGAATTCTCCATAGAAACAAAGATGGGAGTTCTGGTGATTACCAAACATTTGATAATATTGATTTACCTCCTGAATTCACTGGCCATCCTGTGGCTTCTGTGCATCCAGAAGCTGTTACTAAAGAATTAAGCAATGAAATGAGAAGTATGACTCAAAGTTTTGAATATAATGATCTTCCATTTATGTCTACACAAATTTATCAAGCAACTATGAAAGGAAGCATGTCACTGAAATCGAAAGAATCTGAGCTTGTCCTAGTACCAGTTGAGGAAGCAGTGTTGCCATCAGCAGCTTCAGGTACAAAATTTGAAGGTCATTCACATCCTGAAAGTGAGTCTAAAAGTAAGGCGATTTTAGATATGAAAATTATAACACCACTTGATAAAGAGGAAGGAGGGTCTCTACAGTTATCTGGAATGAAAGAAGGTGCTAAGTGTGTTTCAGCAGAGGGGCAGAGTATTTTTATAGGTGAGTCAGATACTTTGCAAGTTCTTTCTCTAGAACCACAACTTGTACCAGACCTACAGCCTGAAAACAATGGAGGAGAAATTGATGTTTTTCAGGATACTGAGAAGGATGAAATAGCTGGACCGTCGTTAGTATCTGCCAATTTGCTAGACGCCACTTTATCAGAAGTTGGAAGAAATAACTTGGCAATTCCAGCAGCAAAGACGAAATATCAAACAGTACAGTCAAAGGATTTGAAAATCCCAATACCTGATGCAGGCACTGCTAGGATTAAACCACAGGTGATAGAAATCATTAAAATTGATAGTAATTCCCTAGAAAAAGAAGAAGCTATAGCAGCATCTGATGATGAAATTCCTGCTATTCCTTTGGATGAAGAAGGAAGTAGCCTAGAACGGTGGGTTTCTGTTGAGGACATACATGAAGAGCTGTTGGCAGCAGATTATGCTCTGAAAGGAGCCCTGGAGTTAGGCAATGAGTTTCAGTATATAGATGAAGATGAAAGGAGAAGCCCAGATACATGCAGTGATTATGACAACTTAAGCTCAACATCACCATCTTCTCATGTCGTCGCCCAAGATACAGAGCCACCACTGGAACAAGAAGAGGAGTTTGTGGAAAGTGACATGGGCAGGCATAATCTTGGTCAAAGGGAAGGAGAGAGAAGTGGAAGTGAAACTGTTGAAAAAATTAGTGGCACTAAAATGTCTAATGAAGCAAGAGTAAGTAGTGAAGATATAGAAGTAATTTCTGCACAAGAGAGTGCTCCTGCTGTCAGCAGTTCAGCAGGTAAAAGACATATACAAGAGAATGTAGAAGGAAGTGAAGGAGTGAAAGGAACTGTAGTACAAATTGCAGAAGAGGACAAATCACTGGTACATACAGAAGGAAGTAGTCAGTCTTTTGTAGGCAGTAGTGTCATTCAGAATGAGTCTCAGTTAGTAGTGGGGCAAGTAGTTGATGACAGAATAAGCACTGTATTGTCAAAATTTTCAACTGATGGTCAGAATATTTTAAAAGATCGAGAACAGATTAAACCAAGTCAAGGGAAAGAATCTCCAGAAAAGTTGGTTGACCTTGCAGAACAAAAGGCAAAGTCACTGGAACATGAAGAGCAGAATCAGCTGAAACTAGAGGATAATGTAGGGTTGGCCATATGTGAAGTAACTTTAAGTCTAGAAGAAATGAAATTGAACAACAAGAGCAATATGAAAATTAGGGAGGAAGGAGTTGTGATAGATGAAAAGAAAGACGGTTCAGATACTTTGAAATCAGAACAGAGGCCAGTGATGGGGGCTGACTCACCTGAATCTGTCAAAGAAGGTAGAGATGAGGAGTCGCCTGAATCCATGAAAGATGATAAAGTTGCTGCTGAAAGAAGTAAGTCAGAGGAGGAAGGCTCATCT